TATATATATAGATACATAAATGTATAATAGAAGCAATATCTGTATCAAGTCCTCAAAATAACATTTAATGTTACTTATCTGTTCATTAGTAGAGTAGAGTTTAATATTTGGTGGAAAAATCAACACTTTGTTTTCTCAAATCCTGACACATGATTGTGAACTTCCATATTAAGCTACAATACTTGTTGGGTTTTTTGATAGCGTCTTTCTCATACAGTGGGGCTGTAATTAATGATTATTTTCATTATTGATGAATAATTTTGTCATAAAATGAAACATGGCATGTGTGATATCCCAGAGCCAGAGGTGATGTTTTAGAATAGTATGTTTTATCCGACACACAGTCCAAATTCAAAAGCTATTGAGTTTATTATCATGTATGGCAAAAAACATCAAATTTGAACATTTAAGAAGCATGAAACCAGCAAATTTTTGGCTTTCTTGCTCAAAGAAATCACTAAAATGATCATTAGATTATCAAAACATTGGCAGTGGCAGTTTTTATGTTGTTGTTGATGTTTGAGTAACTGATTGCATTGTCATCGGATGATGTCGACACTGGTGTGCGTGATTTTATTTGTCACTTTTATTTGCCACTGCAGGTCCAGCCGATGAAAACAAGCCCCTTCAGCATCTCTCCCACACCGGCTGGTAGCAAGGTGAGCCAGATCTGACACGCGTGCTGTTTTGGTCAATCCCAGTTTATAACCTGTCAAAATTGGCTGTCAGCAGCTTCTTTGGTTATATAGAGGCCACGAAGAGCTGATCAATTATTTTTATATTCATTCACCATTTTCATAAACAGTTTCCAGTACTGATCTCTGATTATAATCAGCTTTATAAGAACCTTCCTATCACAATCAGACATGTTCCTGCAGGAAAATGATCTCAAATTGGAGAAAAATGAACAGCATTGACAACTGAGATAACATGCTATCCTGACATTAGCATGTAGCTACATGTAGCAGTGTACTTGCAGCTGGGGAAGGACTGTAACAGAGAATAGCGGCACTTTCTACTGTGAGAAATCACCAAGAAAACTTACTTAATGTTCCAGCATGAATATGATCCAAAATCGTTCTGGAATTTTCAGCATCAGCGACCAGGATCACATGTTTCACTGACATTAGCATGTAGCTATGGGTAGCATTGTGCTTGCAGCTGAGGAATGACTGTAATGGAGAATAGCAGCGCTTTCTTTCATTAAAAATCACAAAAGAGTTTTTAGAACAGTTTGAAATTGAGTTTTTTTGCTCATAGGGATCCCAGGGCAAGCATGATACTGTAGGTGCAAAGTTATTTGCTTACAGTTGTACTCATTTTAGTACATTTTATGTCACCTTTTTTTGTTGTTGTCAGATTTAATCAAAAACCGTTGGTGTTTTTGTGTATCACTGAAAACAACAACAAAACAAAACAAACAACAAAAGTGTGTGTTTGTGCTGGCATGACTGTATCTGTGGTGTGTTTGTAGTCATTGCACTTAATATGCAAATCATACAACTTTGTCCACGCCCACCTTCACTGAGGAGAAGAAACAGGCAGCTGTGAGAGAAAAGGCAGAAAGAAGAAAGGGTGTGAGAGAGGTGACAGTGAGTGATAGACGTACAGATGCAGCACAGTGCAGCTGTGATGGATGGGTAATGACAGGGCTGTGAGCGGCTAACGACAGCTAGAGGTCAGAGGTCAGCAGCTTTGGAGTGTTCCTGACACCATGAAAACGGGGAGGATTGACTCGACCTTCTGGACAGGTGAACGGCAAACACTTCAACTTGTGAATCAGGAGAGGGCAACAATAGACGGAGGCTTACAAAGTCAAACAAGGGAGCGCTAATGAAGTATCTTTGACTCTTTTTCTTTTCGCTGACAAAATCTGGTTTGTCTCATGATTGTGCATTCTGAGAAACCTGTTCCCTGGCTACACGAACATTTGTGAGGGTCCAAAACTGGTTTATCACATCAGCTTTGCAGGTCTCATAATTATGCAGCTGCTCAAAGTCTGATCTGTTAAATGTTTGCATTTTAAGACCTGAGACTGTGTGTGTGAGAAGCAAAATGCAGAGTTAAAGTAGAAATATAGTAGAAATTATGTCTAAACTGGTATGTTTGCATGTGCAAAATAGCTACAAAAATGATATGTTAAACTGGCTTTGATCACTGAAATGTGTGCACAAGTTGATTGCATTTTGTCAGCCATTTATGTTCACAATAAGTTTTTTTTTTTTTTCCACAAGTATATATGGGATTTGTGCTTCGGGTCTACCTCCTCCCTACATTTATAAGATTAATCATTTTGGGGACAGACTTGCAGGATTCATTTTCTGAAATCAAACAGACATTTTCTTGTAGCGTTGCGTTAAACAGCAGTTTGATTTTGTGCAAGTATAATTTCTCATATATTCTATGTATACCCTGTGTATATTCCATGAGTACTGGATTAAAAAAACCTTTCACTGCGCCAGCAAAACAAGAAAAGTCAGATTGTCAGTAGTAGAGGACAATAGCTGTACCTATCAGCGTATGACTGTGTGTGTGTGTGTGTGTGTGTGTGTGTGTGTGTGTGTGTGTGTGTGTGTTGCTTTAAAAAACGTCTCTGGATCAATGCATTTACTCACAAAAACATTTCTTTGTGATCTGCTTTAGGGAAAGAGTGAGGAGAGCTCTGAGATGGCCCATAGCAACATCCCCCCTTCCTCTCAACAACAACAACAACAACAGCAACAGCAACAACAGCAGCAGCAACAACAACAACAACAACAGCAACAACAACAACAACAACAACACCACCACACACAGCTAATGCTGGCTGGCAGTCAGCTAGCAGGGGTGAGACGATGCACACGCTCACTCACACACATAGTAAATTGTGTTAAGACGAGATGTGACCCCCTTCTTGGCTGACATGGCAACTGCTTTTTTAGACTTTAAATAAAAACTGCTTGTAAATGTAACATAGACTGTATATAAAGAAGGACAAGGCAGCTCCATTTTCTCCCACTGTACAAAAATGAAGCCAAAATATCCTGGATACGGCCGTTGCCATCTTGCGCTAGTAACGTTCTGCGCAGTAGCAGTCTCCCCAGTATTGTGTTCCTGCCCATACACCCTTCCAGCCAATACCAAGCAGAGACTTTAATCACAACACACACAGCTGTCAATCATGACATTGATCCCCCTTTTATGTCACCATAACTTATTAAAACCAAACCTATTAGAAAAACGAACAGTTGAACATTAATCACTGTGATTAGAACTTTGTAAAATGACAGAAACCATCTTTAGGTAAAATATATTTGCACCATCATCAGCGCTGATGATCTTCTGTGCATTTTGGCCCATATTGAATAAGTGAAACTTCCTAGTAGTGCTGGTGTTCTTATTGTTTTCAGATTTTCTACACATTAAGATTTTTGGAGTTGTGCGCACTGCTGTTTCTATCAGATTTGATGAGTACCAGTCTCTCTTGAAATTTTAGCTAAGCACAGTGGACTCCTCTCTGCACTATTCGTCATGATTTATCTATTCCAGAAGAAGAAGGTCCTTGAGAGTTAGTCTAGATCTGCTCTTTGATTTCAATCCGAAGATTTTGATTTCAAATTGCTGGCTACATTGTGTCCACATCTGTGGTTAAAATGTTACATTTGTGCTCTATCAACAATTTAGAAATGCTGTCATCTGGTAAAATGAACCAAAACTGATAGTTAAATGCTTTCATGGATTAAATAAGCAGTCTCAAACATGCTTTCATGTGATTGTGCCTTCATTTAGTTTATAGTGTTAAGTGCCGAATAATGTGACTACTGTCATGCACTTGCACACGAGAAAAATATTCAGTCTAAGTACATAAATGCCCTGAAGGACAAGAAAGCACCTGCACAACATACAGTGTACAGTATTTGCATTAGGTGAAATACCTAAGCCAAATATTCTTTAAGTTAAGTGGATGGCTTTTCTTGCTTGTCTTGCTCTGGCATGCTTTTATTGTCCGCTAACAGATTCACCTACACCTCTATTCCTGGAATGCTTAGCTGACTCTGCTCTTTGTTCTCTCCCCTGACTTTCTTTATGTCTCCACTTTTGTCTTCATTTTATTCTTCTTGCACATGATCCTTCTCATTTCCTTTTTTGTCAAACTACTTTGTCATTCACCTCTCCTTTCAACCTCCTTCCTGCATCTTTACAACTTCATCTCATTTGCCATCGCTGTCCTTATTTCTCTGTCGCCCCTTTCCTCCTCCACCTCCTCCTGCTGTCCCCTAGCTTGCCGCTCTGCTCCCAGCCCAGCAGCAGCTGCTCCTACAACAGGCTCAGGCTCAGCTCCTGGCGGCCGCCGTTCAGCAGTCAAACGCTGCCCACGCCGCTCACGCTGCCCATGCTGCCGCACAGCAACAAGCCAACCAGCAGCAGCAGCAGAGCCAATCACAATCCCAGCAGCAACAGCAGCAGCAACAGCAACAAACCAAACAGGAACAAACTGTCCAAGCCCCACCTCCACCGCAGCTGGCCCTGTCACAGCCAATCCAGCTCACAGCCCAGGTATGAACAGCAAGTGCTCTAATGAACAGTGTGTACCTTTTGAAGTAAGCGAAGTACAGCATGTGATTTCTTAGTTGTACTTTTGACACTTCTTTTAAAAATATTTGGCCATCCCTTGACTTGTCTGTCACCTTTAAGCCCAGTTTATTTGTGCAGTATATTGAGGAGTGTTTGTGTTTTCATTGCAGGACATCCAGCAGCTGTTGCAGCTCCAGCAGCTGGTTCTGATGCCGGGTCATCATCTCCAGTCTCCTGCCCAGTTCCTCCTGTCTCAGCCACCACAGGCACAGCAGCCGCAGCAGGGTGAGGTCCACTTAGGAAACTTCTGGTCTTCAGTTCTGATAATTACAATAAAGTACACACTTGAAGAATTAAAACCACCAAGAATTCATGTAATATGGTAAAGAATTTTTGTTTCCATACCCAATGGCTTTACTGGTGCGTTTATCACAGCTGTGTGTGGATTTAGTGGCATCTAGCAGTGAGGATTGCAGACTGGAACCAAGAGGCAATGTACGGGGCTGAAAAATGAAGCCAACTCAAAAGTGCTAAAAGCTGCAGTTCCTTTCATGGCCACTTGAGACTGGCTCCGGAAGCAAGTCAATCCCCACAGCCCCCTGTGTTAAAATGCCCAAATTTACAGTAGTAATACATGTTTACAACCTGGTACAAAAAACAGTTTCAGTCTCAAAAGCTAATTTCAACATTCATGGCAACTGTACAGCGGTCAACTAGGGTCACATTTTATCAAGGCTTAAAGTTACAGTGCTGGTTGCTTTGAGTGACAGGCTGTCTGCCGATAGTGTCCTCGGCTTCTTCTTTTTTTTGTTTGTTTTTTTTAAAGATACTTTTTAGGGCATTTTGCCTTTATTGGACAGGACAGGTAAGCGTGAAAGGGGGAGAGAGAGAGGGGGATGACATGCAGCAAAGGGCCACGGGCTGGATTCAAACCCGGGCCGCTGCGGCAACAGCCTTGTACATGGGGCGCCTGCTCTACCACTAAGCCACCGACACCCCTGTCCTTGGCTTCTCAGTCAGATCCACCCCTTGCTCCTCCACAGCGCCAGCCTCTCATCCAAATAAGGTCACTCCTGGCTCAAACAAACAAAATGGCAATGACCAAAATGCCGAGCTTGAGGCTTCAAAATGGAAGTCCATGAACCGATGGTTGACCTCACAGTAGCTACTTCCAATATTGCCTATTGTCTATGATTGCAACCAGCTGAAACGTCTCCCATGGACCAAACTTGAACTCACTGTTAGGATTCTTTCAGTGTTTATTGTTTGGGGAACCAAATTATCCATAGAGGTCCAGGTGATTCAAACTAGTAAAATACTTTATAAAGCAGTTTCACGTTACAAATTAATTCTCTCCTACGTGTGTTCACCTCTTCTTTGTGATGATGTATGATTCAGAGGTTCAGAGGGTTTTTACTAGAAGCTAAGTAGTTTCATGGTTTTTTTTTCTGATGCTGCTCACCTTGTACGCTAACTATGGTAGCCAATAAGGACTGCTAACTATGTTGCTAACTGCTACCTATGGTAGCCAATAAGGAAATGTGAATGGCCCTATCTAGAGCCGGTGTTTGGTCCTTTTTGGGCTCTGTAGATATGAGCAGCTCATTCTAAGGTAACGAAAACGCAACGATTCTTATTTTCAGGTGATTATACAAAAAAAATACTTATGATGTTTATTTTATTTATGCCAGTATCTCCCCCTAAGTCCTACATACTGGACCTTTAATAATTTGATTGAGTGGTTGGTTGGTTGGATGATTGTTTGGTTTGTTAATTGGTTACTCTTCCTTTCACAGGTTTGCTCTCGACACCAAATCTGATCCAGCTACCTCAGCAAAGCCCAGGGGGGCTACTGACAACCCCGCCTCGCCTGGGTCTCCAAGCACAGGTAGAAAGTCTTTGTGTGAGTTTGTTCGGACAGAGAGAGAGGGAGAGAAAGACAGCGTAAAAGAGACCTTGAGAAACATAATGTAAATACACAACAAGTGGTATTAGTTATCTTCATGCAAAACCAATAGATGTTGAATCTCTGCAGCACAGGTCTTTTGTTAGACTGATATTCACCACCATCACCCGTCATCTCTTGCAAACTACCTGCAGAATGCAAAACACTCTTGACTATCCTTCAGATTGTCTTCTGCTTTCAGAGACACTTTAGAGTTTAAACAAATAGCTGATCTCTGCTGCAACAATCTGCCAAAGGAAAAAGGTCGAGGTAGCTGCTTATTGAAAAATATATTCCATTGTGGCAGCTTCTTTTCATGAAAGGCATAGAATCTTGATGATATATTCACTCAGCTCACCTCTTGTCCTAGGTCTTTATCCTCTGTAACACAATGCATGAATGCATCCCCACACATCCGAGGGCCGTTATAGATTTTTCAATAAGCTGTGATGAAGTCGTGTCAAACACGACAGCGGCCGCTCCCTGCTTGTTCATGTATTTTATTCACAGAGATGATAAATGTAAATGAGGCGCATAGCGGCAGGTATCGTGCATGATGTCTGGTCAATTAGTTGATACTCCCAAAGCTCGCAGGGTCAAACTCCTGCTCTGACGTACTATGTGTCTCAGATGATCTGATGGCAGGCCGAGGTTAAACTCTGTCTACAGATAATATATTCATAGTTTTTTTCTCCTGTTTAGAATAAAAGATGTTTTTTGTGCATGATTGATGTCAAATTTGTTTAATTTGTCAGTGCACACAGGATCAAATTGTTGTTTTTATGCATGTCTCCCAGATGATTAAATCATATGTATTCACTGACCAGTCTATTTCAGCTCTGTATGATTTAGCAGTAATGACAATAATACATAATAAAAAAATACACTATAATATATATTTTTATGTATATATTTTTCAACATATCATTTTAAATAAAATTACAAGGTACTTTACAGTCAAAACAAATTATAATAGTAAATAAAATCAAAAACAAAACGAAACAAAATTTTACCACAATACCAATAGACTTTGCAGCAACACTTGCAGGGTTGTGTGGGAGTTTGTAAATGGATATTTTAATATAGTTTTGCTGTTGTTAAACACGGTCCCCAGTGACTTTAATTCATCAAGTGTTTGCTGTTATTGGATCACTCAGAGGCGTGTAAGAAAAACAGCTCGCTTCACAAATAAAGCGTGACACTAGATAAGGAATTGATACATAAATGTTTATTTGGTGGGTGAAGTATTTCTTTAGGATTCACTTAATTTCTTTGGCCTCATGCTCAACCTGTACACTCGTGATCGTCAGCTGGCTTTTGAAGGAACCCCCAAAACAGTTGCAACTGATCATTTTATCATGAATGATTTATAAACCCCAAATATGTGCGTTCAATCAGCAGGTACTACAGACATTCATCAGCAAGTAGTAGTGATTTTCGGGTCGACCCACAGCTTGCAGGCCCGGTTCTAGTAAGCTTACTAGAAAATATTTTAATATAAACACACATGCCCTCAGGCCTTTTCTCAGTCCTGACAATTGTGCTGCTATTATGAATAAAGTTGGGGTCGTTTTCGGGTGGTTAATTTACAGATATTTCAGTGCAGATCAGGTGCAATCAGGTGAAGGTGAAACAATTTCCCGTATTTTATTAACAGGATGCGGCTTGTGCTTATCTTCATGCAAGGATGGAAGCAAACTCTCATTTCTAACATTCCATTTTATTTATTTTTTTATTTAAAAGTAATTTCATTATATTATTGCACATTAAATTAATTAACAATGAGATGCTATTAAGGTCTAAATAATTGTTTATTTAGAAAAAGTCCTGCCCCTACAAATTCTTGCCCTTCAACAAAAATAGTTGGTGACTCCTGCTCCACACATACAATATCATGTCAGTCCATTTGAATAAAGTTCTTACCTCTGTCTTCCCGACATTACAGAGGGAGAAGAGCAGCGATGTTGTGGTTGGCGGAAGCAGCAGTGGCAGCAGCGGCTCTATAGTCGCCACCGGCAGCAGCAGCGTTGGTGTTGTGACGTCTGTAGGAGCCACCTCAGCATCCAGCAGCGCCATGGCTTCCTCGTTGACTTCTGGCTTGACTCCTGGAGGTCACGGGAGTCACATGGGGGAAGAACCCAGCGACCTGGAGGAGCTGGAGCAGTTTGCCCGCACCTTCAAACAACGACGCATCAAGCTCGGATTCACCCAGGTAAAAGGGGTAATAAGAAGGTGGACAGGAGTGTGTGTGTGTGTGTGTGTGTGTGTGTGTGTGTGTGTGTCTCAGCTTAATTTCTGACACTGTTTATTTGTCTGACAGGGAGACGTTGGTGTTGCGATGGGTAAACTGTATGGTAACGACTTCAGCCAGACCACCATCTCCCGATTTGAAGCTCTCAACCTGAGCTTTAAGAACATGTGCAAGCTGAAACCACTGCTGGAGAAGTGGCTGAGTGATGCAGGTAAACGTCCAGAACTTAACCTGATTGACAGCAGACACAAGTCTGTCATAAAGAAAATCCAGACAGCAGTTTGTTCCCAGCAATCATTCATTTTGCATGACTTATAAATGACCTCCAAAACTTGGAAAAAGTCCAAAACCAAGCTCTGACGAAATTGCGCGGATGGATGAAGTTATTGTTAATGGAAGTAATGGAAGCAATACTGTATGTCAGTAACAGTTCTAAAAGTCTAAAGTTATCAGTGTGATATTTTTTGGTTGTTACCATGTAAGTGCAAAAAACTGTAGTTCTTTTACTTCAGAAGGCTTTACTGCATGTTTTCTTCCATGCTTTTCTGTCTGTTGGCCCACATGTCTTCATGTCTCTTTATTTATTCTTGCTCTTGTCTCTCTATCTCTCTCTCTCTCTGACAGAAACCATGGCAGTAGACAGCATGCTGCCCAGCCCGTCTTCTCTCTCCTCCCCTATGTTGGGCATCGAGGGTCTATCCGGCCGGCGCAGGAAGAAGCGCACCAGCATTGAGACCAATGTGCGAGTGGCCTTAGAGCGCAACTTCTGCACGGTAGGACATTGACTTATTTACCAAGGATATAGAACACCGTGTCTGTCAGTCTGGAATCTGTCAGTCTGGAGAGTGAGACTGACACAAAAACAGAAAAATGTCAACAAAAAGATATCATGGCATTCAGAGGAATCATATCTCAGTGGATGTTGAATTTCTTACTGAGATCTGACAGGTGAGGTATTTTTCTGGATCTCAACTGTACAAAATGATGCACAAGGCAGATTTAAGAGCCTCATCTTTTATTTTTCAGGAAGTATTCAGATCTTTTACTCAAAGTAAATGTCTTGCATATAATCATTTGAGAGAAAATACTAAAAAAAACCCAAAGCTTTTTAAGACTTTTTAAAACTTTAACATATGAACATTGTCTACATTTGCATGCACACTATGATGTTCCACTATGACTCAGAATATGACACCAGTCATGTAAACAGCATATTGCATTTGGATATTCCAAATTAGGCCTTCTTTTTTTTAAGAAACATTTTCATTTGGAATATGCCGGTATTATTGTGGTTTTAGGAGCATTCTTTGAGCACCAATACGGCACATTCATAACATGCATCTCAGCTGGGGTTTTAACGTAGTTTGTAACACACAGCTTCTTACCTATTTGAGTCAGCTCTGTGTGTTGTACACAAACCAACTAGCTTACAGATTGTAAAACTGTGAGGTAGAGATACATGCCCAAAAGAAAAGCCTGCATCCCTGGTCCAAAGGAGAGACATCATCAAACTTTTAAACATCATGAAAGATCAGGATATGAACGGGTTCTTGGATATGCGCAAAGTTGCAACAGTGACCTTTTCAAGAAAGTGGTTGAAGGAATGGAAAAGGGAAACAAACTTTATTTTGATGCAAAGAAGCTAAAGTGGCTCCAGCTGTTCCACTGTTTCATATTTTGGCATGATAATCATGTTATGGCAGGTTAATCTGAGTATGCATGGCTGCATGTTAACAGGAATACTAGTGGAATATTCATTTTCATCAGCCATGTAAACAGCTTATTGTCTCGTTTGGAATAAGAAACACCTGGAACATTTTGTGCATGAAAACATAGTCAGTGTTGAGGACAAATAATCTAAGGAATACTGTCAATTTGGGTGCACATTTGAGTGAATTGACTGAATTAGACAGGATGTTTCAGGCTTGCTAAAGAGCTGAAGGTATGCATGTAAGGGTTAGGCAAATATCATCACCCGTTCATTCATCCATTGGTTTCAGTTTCTGCTCGTCTCTCTTTTTACTCATCAGTTTGATGTTTTCCTCCTCAGAACCAGAAGCCTACCTCGGAGGAGATCCTGCTCATGGCGGAGCAGCTCAACATGGAGAAGGAGGTGATTCGTGTTTGGTTCTGCAACCGCAGACAGAAAGAGAAACGCATCAACCCCTCTAGCAGCACCACCCCTCCCTTGCCCAGCCAGACTTCACCTGTTGTGACACACAAAGCCCCCTGCTACAGCCCTCACATGGTACAGTCCACCACACATCCACTGACTCTTCCTTTACTTGTTTTGTGCAATTTCAGAGGTTGGATATTTGTTCCACAGATGGAAGTATTTCCTGATCTCTCTTTCCCTCTCTCCCTCTCCAGATATCGAGTCAGGGTCTGTCCCAGGTCACCACCTGTCTCAGCACAACAGGTGAGCTGTAATTACTGTTTGTGCCCGTGTAGAGTCTCGTCAATGAATTATTAAAGGTTAGAGCAGTGCTTCCCAATTGTGTTTTTGGAACCCTAAGGTTGGTCACGGGAAGATTAAACTGGTCCTGACGTTATTTGGAAGAAGTTGATACTTCTGTATTGTCGGAGATTTTCGCTGCTTTGATGAAACACTGAAGAATCATCACTTTAAAAAAAATGATTTCTGTGAGAGGAAGATTGAAATAGAAAACAATGATGTTTTGTTGACAACAACATGGAAGCACTGGTCCCGTCTTGAGTTGTTTACCTCCATGAGTCATGGCTTGTCCTCGTGATTTATGGACCCTGGCTACGGTGTGAGCTATCCCAGGCTTCACAGATATGACAGATGGCCTGACAGGTAACAAACACAGCTGGAAATTTATCGGTCCGTTGAGCCAAGGCTAATACTTTCCAGTTGCAAACTTCTCTCTCCAGTCTGCAGTTGACTGGAGTTAAAGAAGACACTCAAAAAGCTAAGGATCCTGACTGCTGATTAAGAACTGTGTCACCAAAATGTTTATTTAATGCTGTAACTCATCCACACAGTGAAAACAAACCTGCTACATGGCACCAACATCCCTCTCCTTCTCTTCCCCTCAGCCGCCAGCTCTTCAGCATCCTGCCCCATGACTCCTGTCAGCTCCGCTGCTGTAAGCTCTGCCTCTTCTTCTGTGACCCCACCCCCACATAGCACAGCTAGCCCTGCCCCTCCCAGCCTTGGGGCCCACGGGCTCAACACTGGGTGAGTGTTTATCTGATGGTAATAATTGAAAAAAAAACATGGTGGTTATTTTATCTTTAAAGGGATTTTATGGCAGCAGAGGGCATTGTTTACTTCCTCTCAACTACTGCATTACAGACATTCCAATAGGAAATACACGTGGACCTATTTAGAATGTTTAAGTCATCAAGTTTGAAATGATCTATAGACGGAATAACGATGACTTCACACTAAAAGTTACTTTCAGGTACACAATTGGCAGTTGATTTGAACTGCAGAGATATCTGAAATAGGCAAACTTGTTTATTTCTTTCATCATTTTCATTCATAACTGTAACATTTAAAGATATATAGTTAAATCCTACTAATCTGATCTATCTGATGTTACTGCTGTGCTTATTTTATGTACCGTATTGCTTTGCTAGGGCCTTCAATGAACCAAATCTACCATTACCCAACAGCGCCACCTCAGTGCTGGTCAGACTAACTGCTAGTTTTGGGGAAACTCAAACTGTCGTTTCCTTTACTCAGTCACCTAACAGGTAAATTAGATCTTCAACCTGACGTTAAAGTATTGTCATTAATGAGATAGGAAAGCATCAAACACGCCTTTTAGACAACAAGATTTTCTCCCGATACCTCAACTGTTTTTCACCACCGTTTGCTCAGCACCATTAAATTATATGTACACGACGCAGGGGAAGTTATAAAGAAACATGATTCGGTTTGAGGCTTTGAGCCAGTCATAATAAGAAAGATGATAGGTGGAAGTACAACAGGAAAACAGAAAACAAACTTTGCCCACAACAATTTACGGTTAATCGGTCAATCTTCTAAGTCATCAAAGCAGAAAGCAAGCTATGAAACACTCTCCCATGTCTATGTCTTAAATGTGAAAACCCTCTGCTTTTTTAGATTTGTATTATTGTAAAATGTATATATTTGTTTTTTGACAATTTGACATTTTATAATCCACATTTTGTGAAATAAGGCAATTAATCAAAAATAATAAGCAATACATTTTGCCTGGGTCCAGAGTAGACCTATGAATTCGCCCAGTCCACCGAGTTTGAGTTGACTGACTCTGGTCTGGCATTGTGATGTGAAACAGCAGTTTCTCAACATCCAGTGGGGGGACTAGATTAGTCAGTCAGTGCCATGGGCGGGACTGATGCTATTGTCATTGTCATTAGTTTTTACTTTGCTCCGCTCCACTTTTAAAACCCAAGCATAAGCAGGTATATTGGTAAGGCTGCGCATCAGTGTTGACTTTAAATGACATTAGACTCAGGTGGATATACTGGTCTCAAGTGATTGGTTGGAGAAAATAAAAAAAAACCTCCCCCATGGAAATCAGTTAGAGGGGAGACAATGTCAAACTGAAGATGGAAACGGAGTGTGACCAGCTGACAATTTCATCTGATATCAGGCAAAAACAGACAAATTATTAGTAAAAATGATAATTTGTTGCAGGCCTTAATTAAAAGGAGAGAGACCGTGTTTCTTTCAAAATAAAAGACTGACTCTTTGGAAAAATCTTATTTACACCTCTGTGTAAGAATGCAAAAATGCTAAACTATTTTATACTATCTGTATTTGAAAGGGGTTTTTTTCACACATTTTGGAGTGTTTAGGTTGTTCCTGAATCAGTGAAACCATCAGCCCTCCATCAGCTGTAATGAAAACATGTTAAACTTGACATCACCTGAAACGTATGCAGCTGTATGTTGCAAAGAAAAGCTGTTGAAAGGTGTGTCAGACTGCTGCCACACCAGTTTGACTGCAATTCTGCTCACACACATGGAGATGTATGTACAAGCTAAGGCATGCAGTTTTGACACAGATAGACAGTGTCAGAGAAGCTGCTGGTGCCCCAATTACACCATCAAACACAAGACAAGAGACATAATTACACTGGGTTTACATCACTCTAACCTGCTAACTCTTTCTCTACAAGTGTGAATTGTTTGTGTGAATTTGCGGTCCGTCCACATTTCAGGAACACATTGATGGGAGTAAGCACAGGGATGAACCAGGCCCTCATTGGCAGCAGTCCCCTGGCTACCATGCAAGGTGTGTGTGCATGTGTGTGTGCATGCAGACTGTCCCCTCCAGCCCAGCAAGTCTTCATGAGTCTCCATTTCTTAAGACTACTTCCCATTTCACCCTTCATCCATTCTGTCCAAAATGAATTTCCTTGCAGCTCTCAGACGACAGTAGCCAACAGCGAGCCCGGCTCTCACTCCTCCTCCTCAGCACAAACTTTTTGAATTGCTCAGTATGGTGAAAGATTCAATTTGATTCTCATACAATAGACTGCTATTATCACAGAGTGACAAGAGCCCCTTATGGCAAAGCTTAGGAGGCCAAGTCAGCTTACAGTAAACAGTTGAACAGGCACAATCCCCTCCCTCTCTATACCGAGGCCTGTTGGCTAAATAACTAGTTTCCACTCAAAATTCCCCTTTTTAAAAGAGACGATCTGCTGCCAAATCAATTAAGCATCACAAATAAAGTCTGTGAGCTCAGCTTTGAATCCGTCATGTGATCCATCTCCCTATAGCGCCGATTCAGACCTTCCCCTTTTTCTCCCGCTCTGTTCTGGCGTCATTCAGAGCCAGCCTCCTCCAGGCCATGTGTTGATGAGAAGGATACAGCCTGTTATGGAAACTGCAGCTCTGGCACTGCCGGCTCTGATAGAGTTATAGGCTGAAGGAGAGAAGAAAGAGGAGCCTCGGTGAAAAGAGGGTTTTTGAAATGAAGTGTTGACGTGGAAAAGGATTTCTGGTTTGAATCCCTCTGGGGCCACACACAAGCTATGAATGTTTACACTCGTGGCGCTGTAATGGATAAAAGTGTTGACTATTACACTGGAATTCAAAAGTCGGCAGGTGTCACTCTCTGTTACAGTGGAGCTCTGACTGATAGACAGCTTATTCTGCCGTGCTCGCTGCAGTAATTCTGCAGGAAAGTACAGGATTATTTTCAGTGTTGGGATCTTATTTCTCATCGCTATATAACATAATGATGCCTTGAAAAACACCTTGTAATATCTAAAGTAAACCTCTTTAGGTCACTCGTGGTTTTTCTGTGAACAGTATGACACATACTGATGATTTTATTTTGTTTTTCTGTGGTGCTACTTGATGTTGTGTGCAGATAGTCAGCAGAATGAGACAGAAGTTTATTTTCATACTTTCACAAGCATCCAACTCAGTATTCATCACTCATAGCATCATGTAGCTGGTTGTGTGCATGTGTAGTAAATAACTGTATCTCCATCTTCATCCTTTTGCTGACTATCATTTGTCTTCTTGCAATTTAGGATTTAGTATTTTTTATATCCAAATGTAAATAGAAGCATATTTATTTCTAAAGGTTCAGTTCACCCAAATAACTAATACCATATATACTGTATATATATATATATAGATATAGATATATATATACATACACAGTATATATCACCCCAAATGTTTTCAGGAACATATTATAGTGTACCATTGGCTGTAAAATGGAAAAGCTGTTCCGACTGGTCCAACCTGGCAGCCAGGTCACAATCTTTCTCATGTTACAACTAAATAGTACACAAAAATATGTTTGAGGTGGGAATTAGGCAATGCAATTGATCAGCGCTGCCTAGTTTGGCAGTTTGGCCGTCGTTCACGAGCAGTGATTGACATGATTGACAGCTGCCTTAAAGACTCCTCGGCTCTGATTGGTTGTTTTTGGTGCGCTGAGTTAGATTCTAGCAAATGCCATTAGAAGCAATAGACCATTATCCGTCTGTTTTATAGTGACAGCTTCAGCAAATGTGTCACCAAGTTATTTTCATAAAAGTCTGTCCGAAATTATTCTGATATCCGTTTGAAAATAGTTTTGTTGTGACTTGGGTGACCTGACCCTTAAATCATTTTTGCCTGCTTACTCCCAGAATGATTTATTTCCATTATATAAGTGAATGTATGAAAACTGCCAGTTTAGTCACTCTGCAGTCTTCCCACGTCATCTGCATCTCTAGTTACTGATGTGTCTCTTTTCTTCCTGTCTTTTTCTATCCTCCAAACCTGTCTTTTTTTATCCACTCTGCCTGCTTTTCTACAAATTTTCTTTCCTTTTTGTCCTCTGCCTGTTTATCCATCTCTCCATCTTTCTCTTCACCTCTTTTCTGTCTTTTCTCAATTACTGCTGTCCCATCTCTACTGTTTGTTTCCTCTTCAACGCCACCACATCTACGTTCGTCCTGCTTTTCCTTTTACTCTTTTCCCTTCCGTCATCTTTTTTCTACCTCTCTTCATCATTTGTCACTTTGTATTTATCACATTTTTTCTTTCTCTTTCCCTCCTCCTTTCATCTCAACCCTTTTCTTATCTCTCGCTCCATAACTGTCCACACTCCCTCTATCTTCTTCCTCTCGTCCATCCCTACCAGCCCTGGCAGCCAGCAGTGGTCAGCTGCCCATCTCCAGCCTCGAGGGGGGAGCCGCTCACATGCTTCTGGGAGGACCTGGGGGTCCCGCTGTACCTCCTTCCCTCCGCCCCTCACTCTTCCTCAACCGCCCTACCCTCCTCCCCATGGTGACCGGCTCCATGGCAACAACCTCCACACCTGCCATGGGACTGGTCAGCAGCGTTGGTGGAATGTGCGGCCCCCGTCCTTCCTTCTCCCAGTCTCCGCCGCCCGGCGCCAGCGACCTCATGAGCCCGACTTCGTGTCCCGAGGAGTCCGCATCTCCTTGTTCAAGCCCCGCCTCCTTCTGTTCTTTCAGCGAAGCCTCGCCACCTCCTTTGGGAGGGGCCATGGCCGAATGATCCCTCACTGACAGCCAAAGTTTCTTATCAGAGGAGAACGAGGAGGAGGAAGAGGAAGAGTTAAAGGAGCTTTAAAAATCTAAATTTACAACCTCGCCTTTCAACCAAAGCCATCTCTCTGTCTGATCCATCTCTGATTTCGTCTCTCTCTTTCTCTGTCTCCCCGCTGAAGTCTTCTGAAGCCAAAAATATACACAGATGGATGATGGGAGGAAGCAAAGAGAGAGGGAGAATGGAGAGGATAGAGAGAACTGCAGAACGGAGGGGGGACATTTGAAACCAAATAATGATCTACAGCTGGAGAGGTGGCACTGAGGAGTGTTTTTGCTCAGCATCGGGGAAACGAACAGCATGCTTTTTATTGGCTGGAGAAAAAATAAACTTGCTGAGGGCAGGGATGAGAAGCGAAACTGTGTGTGAGAAATGGGAGGCAAAAAGAAAAGACTTGTTTAACAAGCTCGGAAGGTCATGTGGTTGCAACCAAATTTAAAAAAAAAAAAAATAAAACAAAAGAGGAGAGAAAAGATGCTAGAAGAGAAACACACACTTACAAAGATGAAAACCAAAATCTCCAAATACCAAAAACTGAAAACCAAAAAAGACAAAAAAACAACAAAACGGAGAGAAAAGCTTTAGTTCAAAAAGACTTTGCATTCTGATCTGTCCAGGATCAGGTCAGTACTTCATTTCACTTCATGACAAACATTTTCCATTTCACTCAGGATTTCCTTTGTTCTCATTTTCAGTTTTACAAAACATCTATTTTTTCTATTAATTTCCATTAATCACTCTTTATGGTATTACAGATATGTAATGTTTTACAGCTGATCCCACATGCAGCATATCTACCTACCTCTCTCTTTACAGTGATGCATACCTTACAGTAGAACAGGCAGCGTTTGTTTTCACCAGCCTGGGGTGGCAGATGGGTGGAGTTTACTACTATAATTACTATAGCATCACTAAAGATGCCAATCCATACTTACTGTAGTATACTTTGCTGTTAATGCCTGAGCTTTCTGGTATTCATTAAATTATACTATGTGGTAAAACCCACCCTTCTGGCATGTAAATTGGATAAAACCAACCTTACGTGTTGGAAAATCTTATTTGATCCAGGTAAAAATAAATATATTGGTCTTTTTTTTGGTGGTTGTTTAGCTGTTTTATTTACATCCTAATTTTCTGTGCAAAGAGAACATTTTCTATCAGGATTTCATCATCAATATTCTCATTGTTGTCTTTAGTGTTTGCTCAAATCGAAGTAAACACACTCAACAGTCTACAAAGAGGATACCACAGGCAGATGTGGACAGTCTTGGGATTTTATTCAGCATTATTTGGCTTCTTTTATTTTCATCACCACATACACACCCATACCATCATCATGTCATCTTCCAGACTGCTCATCTACCACCAGACAGTCACTCTTGGATACCAAAGCATCGCCTCTGGCAGCGTTGTCTCTTGATTCGCCCGGGAGACGAGTGTCCAGACAAAACCTCAGCAGTGTCAAAGGGAAAACACACACACATACACACACACACACTACAAGCAAAAGAAAGAGTCCAAACCAAAAAAAAAAAAAGAACAAAAGAAAGAGGTGAAGCACCGGCGTTCCCCTTACTGCCCCCAAACCCCTGCCCTCCATCCCTCCCTCCCATCTGCCCCTCTCCTTTGTCTCCAAAGATCAGATCAAAGGGCCAAAAGAAAAGAGGAGAAGAAGAAGAGGAGGAGAAGCGGTCAGGAGCGGAGGAGCCAAAGGTATGAAAAGCTGCAGGGGAAAAGCAAGAAGATAGAAGGAAGAGGAGCAGGAGGAGGTGCGCTCGAAGCGGCGGACCAAAAAACCAAAAAGTAACCCAAAACCAAAAGCTACTACTACTGCTACTAATTATGTATGAGTGACTGAACCGTAACTAAACCAAATACAAACAAAGAGGGGGAGGACGAGGGGAGAAAAGGGGGGAGTAAGGCCCTGTCTGTCTGTTTGTCTTTAGCTGTGATTGCTGTTCTTGTATCGACAGACAGAAATCGTTCCCTCCCTCCCTCTGCCAGCGACCTCGGCTTTGTTCTCACTTTTTCCTGGATGGATAAAATATGGAATAACCTCAACAAACTGACTTTGAGAATATATATATTTTTGTTTTTGCTTTCCATAGTGTGTCTGTTAATGATGTATGGATTTGTCTCATTGCTTTCTACTTATTATGCGGCGGGAAGGAGGGAGGGAGGGAGGGGCAGGGGTGGGCAGGTGGTGGGTTTTGGCGACGTGTTGCCTATTTTCATATCTTCTTGTCTCTTCGGTTGTGCTCTGGGTTTTTATTTTTTTTTATGGTTGGAAATAACTGTGAAAATGTAGCTTCCAAGATTACAAAAAAAAAGTTTTTTTTAGTTGATCCAGAATGTTGTGAGAAAGCCAAAACTGAAAACCAAAAGCAAAACTTTTTAGACATAGAACCAAATAGAACAACCAAACCAATGCACAAGTTGTACGTGTGGCTCAGCTGTGTGTGACTGTGGGAACGTGTGTGTGCTTGTGCGAGCATGTGTCGGTATAAAGATAAATTCTCTTGCATCCAAACCAAACCGTAAAACACAACGCACTCTTTATGTCTCATAAACATGTTCAACAAACTAATGTCACCCAGTGTTTATTTTAGATACTTGAAAGCAGAGCTCTGGTCATTTTCAACTTGGACCCGTTTCACAGACTTTTCCCATCAAACTTATTGTCTCCAACGTTCTCTCCTGCTGCTTGGATCATTTCTAACACAAACTCCAAAAATCAAAGTGATCCCTCTGTCGCCTTGTGAAACTCAGCACAAGTTTAGTTTATTTATATTCAGATAACTTTCACTATTTATTTCTGCAGAGGGCTTCTGAGGCTTAACTGTACAGTTGCTCTTGTTCGTATCTTTTAACAGATGTTTCTTTACAGAGTGAGAAGTTAATAAGTGGTGTAAAATACAGATTGACTTCTTTTGGCCACATAGCTCATTTTTAATGTAGCATACTTAACAGGCAGCCACTGTTTTCTATTCATTTCAGCACGAATGAAAATCAATTTACTGATATTTTAAACATAAGCGATATTGCTAATCCGTCATCTCAACTTTACGTCATGTGTTTCTCCCTGAAGTTGTATTATTGTAATGCAGGTGAGAGCAGGCTCACATATTCCAACATGTTCTCACTCTCATCTCATCAAATACAGCAGCTTGGTCAGTGGCCTTCAGACTGGGATGCTTTAGGTACCCGACTAGCGTCGTCTTGGACGCTCAGGGATGGCAGTTCAATTTCCACACGTCACATCCATAGTGTCTTTTCAAACTAATCTTCCATGTTCATGGGAAACATTTGCTTGAGTCCAGACATTTGAACCGGCACCACTACCCCAAGTACAAGTTGACTGATTTGTCTGGCATCGTGACATGAAACAGTAATTTCACAGGTAAATAACAACAACAAATGAGCAATGCAGGGGTCCTCAATTAGCCAACTGGCACCACCGACAGGACTAACATCATTGTCTTGCTGTTGTCAAGCAGTGTGCCGGAACCAATGAGGAGTTATAAGAACAATGGCGAGCGCTGAGGACAAGATAGAAGCTGCTATCCGGGCTGTTCTTAATTGACATGCTATCCCAATATCACCCGACATTGGCATGGCTACACATCAGTGTGGAGTTAAAATGATGTTAGATTTAGGTGGATATGTTGGTCTAATTGGTTAGAGGAAATCGAACCTCCTTCCCTTACAAAAATCGGATAGAGTGGACGCAATGTCAGACTAACGATGGAAACACAGTGTGATGAGTTGATAATTCTGTCCGATATCAGGCGAAGTAAACAGCTTTCACCAAAACTGTTTTAGGTTTAGGCAATAAAATTACTTGGTTAGGTAGGAAAAAAACATCATGGTTAGGGTTAAAATAAGTAAATTTAACCTGTGTTTCTCACAAACACAAACACCCATCTCCAGGGTGAAAGTCCTGTGCTTGGTTGAGTCATCCACCCCTCCGTCCCCCTCTCCTGCCAAACTTGGACTGTCTCGCTCTTTATACAATGTCATTGCCACGGATGGGTTTGCATCAGAGTTAAATTAAAGCCTGGTATATTTGTACAGATGCTGTAGGGTGCCTTGTGTATCAGAATCAGAAACTGACGGCCACTGACCAAGCTGCAATATTTGATGCCCCGGGAATGAGAACAGGCTGTATATTAATTATATTATATTATTATTATATTATTATTAAGTTATGTGACCTGGAAACCAAACCTTTTAACATAACTGTGAATAAGATAAACAAGTATGTACAGCACATCTAGATGATCATCAGTCAACTCTAATTTCCATTGAATGTATCACCAAGGTAGAGTTTTTAAGGATCAGTGATTTTTCATATTGTGCTGTTTTTATTAGTGAAGGCATACCAGTGTTCAAGTATCTAAAAACTGTTGATAAATTATCACCAATACAGTATGTTTGATTTTACGTTAATGAGCTAAAACATGTTTCTTTTAAAAAGCTCCACAGTGAAGCAGTTGGCGATATTTTTGTGAGAAAAGATCACTCTGATGGAATAATAAAAAGAGGTCCAGGTTGAAAACAGAGAAAGCTTTCATCAAACACACACAGGTACTGAAGGCAACCTATGATAAAGATGATATTGGGAGGGAAGTGGGGGGGTGCTCACGTCTGAGACGGATTAAAGGCTGTTAACGTCCACTTTTAGAGGGAATGTATCCATTAGTTCTTCTAGGTTTTTGTAGGGGGGAAATAATCTATGTTCAACTGCTCTTACTTGTTGCTGATGTATAAAAAGGCTGGGACTATTACCTTTGATGATGACGACCGAAGACGACGACTTGATTTAAGAACCAAAAGCTTTAAAACTCTTTATCTCTCACGGGCTCTTTGTTGGAAAAAAAAATATTTGTATTTATTGTATGAGGGAGGTGTGTGCTTTTTTCGGGGATGGGGAAAAATGGTCCGTTTGTATTTTATTAACTTCTTTGTCTCTCACCTTTATTTATTGACTCTTTATTTATGTATTTATTGGATCCTATTTATGTCTTTCTGGATCTTTGTAATAGTTTTTTCAGGGGTTGTTGTGAGGCTTGTATCTGCAGAGAGAGGGGTGTTCTTGAGATCAAGACAAGAAGAGAAAATGCCAAACGAATGTTTCAAAGCAAAACCAAACTTAAAGACTGTTGTAACCTGAGACAGAGAGAAAGTAGCAGGGAAACTGTGACGGAGGAAAATGCTGTTTTAAAATTAACTTTGTGGGGGCAATTTGTCTCAGCGTTGACTGTCTGATATTTGCAATCTCTCGCAGAACCTGGAGTGTGTGTTACTGTTTTTTAATCTCCAGTTGGAAACATTGGGTTTCTCATTTTGGATCAAACTTATATTGTTTTCAGTTGCACCAGCTCTTTGTTAATTCAAAATGTGGTTGATTAGTGTATACTAAATGGAACGGTACACATTAGGCTACTAAATTAAACTTATCTGCAC